GAGTTTGGAAGAAGATCTGAACTAACCAAAACATATTCAAACCATATGTTAAACATATTTCAAATAGTCGAAAATAGTCATTATATTAATTTTGACTATTTTGAATATTCCTCCTGTAGAGGGACAGGCCCGACGTAAGAGGAAGAGGAGGAGGAGGAGGAGGGGGAGGAGGAGGAGGACGAGGAGGAGGAGGAGGAGGAGCAGGAGGAGGAGGAGGAGGAGGAGGAGGAGGAGGAGGAGGAGGAGGGAGGAGGAGGATGAGAAGGAGGAGGAGGGGAGGAGGAGGAGGAACAGGAGGAGGAGGAGGATGAGGAGGAGGATGAGGAGGAGGATGAGGGAGGAGTAACATGAGGAGCCGTAGCGGGAGGAGGGACGATGAGGACGCAGACGGTGGCGCATTTCGCCTCGCCGCGTGCGCGGGCCGCGCGCTCGGTCGCAGTTCATGGATCCTCGTGCCCCGCCCGCCGTTCAGCGCAGATGGCGACGGAGTCGGCGGTGTGCCGAGGGGGGTTGGGGGGGGGGGAAGGAAGGACACGAAGGCGGGGAACGAGGCGAAGGAGGGTGGAACGGAAGGGAGGGCACGGAATGGGGAACAGCAGGAGGGGGGAAATGGATGCTAAGGAGGGGGGGCATGGGGCGAGGGAGGGGGGAAGGAGGCGAGGGAGGGGGGAAGGAAGGGCACGGAGGCGGCGAAGGAGGCGAACGAGGGGAAGGGGGGGGGGTCCACGCCGAAGCAGTGACGACGTCGGGTGGCGGGGGACGGCCGATCTCCCCCCGCCCGTCGACTCGTACCCTCCATGGGGTCCGCTGGTGGGCTGGGGAGGGGGCAGGCCTTTTCCGGAGGCGGCGGGGCTTCTCACCACGTACCAAACCACCCCAACCCAACCCGAAGGCCTCAATTTGCCCTCTATTTCCAGTGGGGGGGGGGTCGGGGAACGTTGAAAAAGCGCATGGAACCCGTACCCCCCCCAACCCGAAATTCGGGTCAAATTCGGGTCTTCGGGTTGGGTTGGGGTGGTCTGGTAGGTAGTCAGCTTCGGGCAGAGCTCGGAAGGCTCATCAGAAGCCTCCCGGGAGTGCCCGCCCCCGCTGCCTGCCTCCCAGGGCGAGTCGTCGAAGGGCGATGGGAGCGAAGAGGGCGGCGGTGACGACGACGATCACGACGACGATGGCGGCGATGTCGAAGATGTTGCCGATTGCGATCGTCATGGTGATGATGCTGATGCCACTGCTGATGATTCTGCTGCTGATGACGAGGGTGATGATGGTTATGACGATGACTCAGGCGATGCCGACGACGATGCTGATGATGCTGACGACGATGTTGATGATGATGCTGATGGTGATGCTGCTGCTGATGATGATGCTGCTGGCGCTGATGCTAATGATGATGATGATGCTGTTGATGCTGATGAGGACGATGATGCTGCTGCTGCTGACCATGCTTATATTGTTGATGATGCGGAAGAGGATGGTAAGGTGGATGACGAGGGTGACTATGCTGATTTTGCTGCTGCCTGCTGCTGATGACGAGGATTATGATAAGGATGGTGATGCTGATGCTACAGATGATGATGATGATAATGATGATGATGATGATGATGATGATGATGATGATGATGATGATGATGATGATGCTGATGATGAGGCTGATGATGCTGATGATGCTGAGAACGATGATGATGATGATGGCGAGGAGGAGGAGGACGCTGATGATACTGATGGTAACTATGTTGGTTGAGGGTGACGGTGCTGTTGCTGATGATATTGATGATGCTGATGATGATGGTGGAGGTGGTGGTGGTGGTGGTTGTGATGACTGATGGTGGTGGTGATTGTGGCGGTGGTGAGTCTGTTGCAGAGGATGAGGATGAGTAAGATGATGGATCTTATGGTTACCGTTCTGATCGTCATGCATATGATGATGGTGGTGGTTGCGGTGGTAGGGAGGAGGATGAGGAGGAGCAGGAGCAGGAGGAGGAGGAGGAGGAGGAGGAGGAGGAGGAGGAGCAGGAGGAGGAGGAGGAGGAGGAGGAGGAGGAGGAGGACCAGTGTAAACTTAAGAGTCACTAGCGATGTTGGCATACACCGTCTCTCTAAGCTCCCTCCTCGTAGGCCCCTACATGGGTTCATTTCCACAGGGAACTGCATCGTTGGAAGGCAACCGCTTGAAGACCCTGAAGCATGCCAAAACATTATTCTCGGGACTCCAATGCCACGGATCAACCTGACTGTTGCGTCTTGACGATGCTCCATCGCGCTAGACCGCCATTCCTGGGACTTCGGCACCGCGAGCCAGAGTAACTTTTGCACCCTGATAAGCCTGAACCTTTCTGAAACATCATTTCTGGTACGTTGACCATGGGAAGCCGTAGAACTCTTGCAATTTTCGAAAAATGATTGTGCGCGGCGCTACGGCGAGAGCCACCGATTGAATACAAACCGCCCTCAATCCGTGAACTTCCTGCGGTTTTTCAGAATGACTGTGCGCGGCGCTAAGGCCAGAGCCACATTGTGGAAACCACCCGGCCTCAATCCGTGAAATTCTGGTAAATTTTTGAAACTAATGTGCGTGGAGCTCAGGCGAGAGCCACATTTTGAAAGCAATCCACCCAAATCTGTGAATTCCCTGCGAATGTTTAGAACGAATGTGCGCGGCGCCAAGGCCAGAGCCACATTTTGAAAACGGACCGTCCTCCATCTGTGAAGATGCTTCCGATTTTTAAGCTTCAGGGTCATAAGTGGTGAGGAAGTCTCAGGCGAAACGTCCAGCTGGCCCTTTCGACCGGCTTCGGGGTGCGACATGGAGAAATCATTCACACGGAGAAGGGATGGAGGAGGAGGTGGAGGAGGAGGTGGAGGAGGAGGAGGAGGAGGAGGAGGAGGAGGACCAGTGTAAACCCAAGAGGCATCAACGATGCTGTAATATACCCTCCCTCCAAGCTCCCTTCCCATAGGTCCCTGCCTGGGTTCAGTTTTACTGAGGGAGCTGCCTCGTTGGAAGACAACCGCTTGAAGACCCTGAAGCATGCCAAAACATTATTCTCGGGACTCCAATGCCACGGATCTACCTGGCTGTTGCGTCTTGACGGTCCTGAATCGTGCCAGAACGCCATTCTCGGGACTTCAACACCGCGAATCAAAATATCTTGTGCACCCTCATGAGCCTGAATCCTTCCAAAACGACATTTCTGGTACGTTGGTCATGCGAACCCGTCAAACTCTCGCACATGTTCAAGACGAGTGTGCGCGGCGCTAAGGCGAGAGCTACATTTTCGAAAGCGACAAACCCTCAATCTGCAAAGCTCTTGCAATTTTTAAGACGAATGTGCGCGGCGCTAAGGCGGGAGCCACGTTTTGAAAACGACTCGCCTTCAATCCGCGAAACTCTTGCGTTGTTTTGAAACGAATGTGCGCAACGCTAGTCCGAAAGCCACATTTTGAAAACGACTCGCCCTCACTCCTTCAAGCTCTTGCATAGTTGTAAAACGAATGTGCGCGGCGCTAAAGCGAGAGCCACACTTTGAAAACCACCCGCCCTCCATTTGTGAAGCTGTTGCCGATTCTTAAGCTTCAGAGTCACAAGTGGTGAGGAAATCTCTAGCGAAACGCCCGGCCCGCCTTAAAAACTTGCCTCGGGGCGCGACAGGGAGAAGTTATTCATAAGGAGAAGGAATGGGGGAGGAGGACGAGGAGGAGGAGGAAGAGGAGGAAGAGAGGATGGGGTGAGGAGGAGGAGGAGGAGTAGGAGGAGGAGGAGGAGGAGGCGGAGGAGAGGCAGGACCAGAAAAAGTGGAGGACGAGTTGAAGGAGCCAGAAGAGAAGGAGGAAGGAGGAGGTGGAGGATGGGCTGAGGAGGAAGACGAGGAGGCGGAGGAGGAGGAGGAGGAGGAGAAGTAGGAGGAAGGAGGAGGAGGAAGAGGAGGAGTAGGAGGAAGGAGGAGGAGGTGGAGGATGAGCATATCTACTCCTCCTCGCCTGACCGGCCGAGGTTTGGGGTTGCGCGGATGGCAAGCCGATGAACCCTCCGGTGTCCGACAAATGCGAGCTCTGGGGCATCGACATGGGCGACTCCCCCACGTCCGGAGGTGACGACACGCCTGAAATTCCTGGCGGCGGAGAGCCCCCCGAAATTCCAGACAAGCCTGACCACACCGATCACTCAACGAAGGCGTTTGATGGGGAGTATCATCTTAAGTCCGACCTCGACTCGAACTTTGTGAAGATCACCATCAACCAGGGCCGTTGGTCGGGCTACGCGATGCCGACGCATATCGTCAGCGGAACGGTGAGGTGCGGTGCTACCAGGTGCCATCTCTCTGGCACTGATGGGTCAAAGATCGTGGATGTTGGCAGTATGGACCTGTCGTATGCGACCGTGACTCTCAAGTTGCAGAACGGCCGAGATCGGGTGTACTACATTCGCAAGATCATCAGGCAAAGTTGATGAACCTAAGTGTGGGATTTCCAGGGTGACGTCGATGAGGCTGCGTGACAACCATTCGGGGCACCTCGAACGGGATGGGTCTTCTGTTGACGGCTACGCATAGTATGAGGACGGGGGTACGAGGAGAGGAGAGGAGTAGGAAGAGGAGGAGGAGGAGCAGAAGGAGGAGGAGGATGAGGAGGGGAAGGAGAAGAAGGAGGAGGAGGAGCCGGATAAGGAGGAGTCGGAACAAGAGGACGGTGGATGGGGCGAAGGTGTAGGAGCAGGTGGAAGAAAATTATTTGGATAGGCAGACTGAGGAAGACGCACGCAGAATTTGACGGACGAGAAAGAAGATAAGGATAAGGTTTCGGAGGAAGAGGGAAAGCGCAACGCATGAGGAGGAAGTGTGTGAGGGGAAGAAGCGCGATGGGGAGGAGGAGGAGGACGAGGAGGAGGAGGAGGAGGAGGAGCGGGAGGAGGAGGATGAGGAGGAGGAGGAGGTGAAGGAGGATGATGAGGAGGAAGGTCCAGGGAGGAAAGAGGAGGAAAGAGAAGGGAGACAACGGGAGAAGGGGCATGGGGCGGAGGGGGGAGGGCAGGATGAGAGGGGGGAGGAGGATCAGGCTGGGGGAGCAGGGTGAAAATGATCAGGATGAGGAGGTGGATGATGATGAGGATGATGATGCTGATGCCGATGATGATGATGCTGCTTCTGTTGATGATTATGATGCTGATGTTTGTGATGATGCTGATGATGATGCTGACGATGATGCCGATGAGGATGATGGGATGATTACGATGATGATACTGATGCCGGTGACGATGCTGTTGATGATGATGTTGATGATGACGGTGATGATGACGACGACGATACTGATTATTTCTATGATGATGATGACGATGATGACGATGCCGATGATGCTGATGATGCTGATGATGATGTTGATGATGGTGCTGATGATTGGTGACGATGATGGTGATGATGAGGATACCGATGATGGTGATGTTGCTGATGATTGGATGCTGATAGTGATGTTGATGATGAGGATGAGGATGATGTGGATGATGAGGATGATGAGGATGATGATGCGGATGACGATGTTAATGGTTCGATGCTGATGCTACTGATGCTGCTGATGATGCTGCTGCTGATGGTGGTGGTGCTGATGATGCTGCTGCTCATCTTGATGATGCTGATGCTGCTGCTGCTGATGATGATGATGATGATGTTGTTGATGATGATGATGATGATGATGATGATGATGATGATGATGTCGCGGAGGAGGATTAGAAGGGCGAGGATGAGGAGGATGATGAGGATGGGGATGATGCTGCTGATGATGATGCTGATGCTGATGATGATGCTGATGATGATGATGATGATGCTGCTGATGATGATGATGATGATGATGATGATGATGATGATGATGATGATGCTGATGCTGATGCTGATGCTCATGATGCTGATGCTGCTGCTGCTGCTGCTGCTGATGAGGAGGAGGAGGAGGAGGAGGAGGAGGAAGAGGAAGGAGGAGGAGGAGGAAGGAGGAGGAGGAGGAGGAGGAGGAGGAGGAGGAGGAGGCGAGAGGTTGGAGGGCACCCAGACCTCGATGGGCCCTGGAGGTCTCGACCCTTGCCCCGGGGCCGGCTCTTCACCCCGAGTTGCTGTTTGGCGGCCCCGTGGCCTCGTGAGGCCCCCCAGGGGCAGAAGATTGCCAAAGATTGCCCAAACCGTCGCCCTGCTATCTCCTAGACGGTGCAGGTCTGGGCCCCCCTCCAGCCAGCAGCGCCCCAGGCTGTCCCTTTCCAGCCAGCGGCGCCCCCAGCTCTGCGCACGGCTGTAATTTTTTCTGCCGGGCCTCACGGGCGAGGCTTTTTCCTGGGAGCGCGGACGCGAGGGCGTCCGCCTCCCTGTACGGAGGAGGACGGGAGGGAGGGAGGGAGGGAGGGAGGGCGGGAGGGTGAACGGGGAGGGCGGAGGAGGGAGGAGGAAGAGGCGGAAGGAGGCGGAGGAGGAGGAGGTGGAGGAGGAGGAGGAGGAGGAGGAGGAAGGACAAGAGGAGAGGAGGAGGAGGAGGAGGAGGAGGAGGAGGAGGAGGAGGAGGAGGAGGAGGAGGAGGAGGAGTGGCAGGAGGAGGAGGAGGAGAAGGAGGAGGAGGAGGACCAGAAACAGAAGGAGGAGGAGGAGGTGGCGGAGGAGGAGGAGGAGGTGGAGGAGGAACAGTGAGCAGGGATGGATGGATGGACGGGTGGATGGATGGATGGATGGTGATGATGATGATGATGAGGATGAGGATGAGGATGATGATGATGATGATGATGATGATGATGATGATGATGATGATGATGATGATGATGAGGAGGGGGAGGTCGACGACGGAGGAGGAGGAGGGAGAAGGAGGAAGAACAGAAGAGGAGGAAGACGAGGAGGAGGATCAAGAGGAGGGATGATGACGATGATGGTTGATGTTGTTGCCTCTGATGATGACGATGGTGGTGGTTGGGGTGGTGATAGTGATTATACTGCTGCTGCTGCTGATGCTGATGATGATGGTGCTGACGATGATGATGGTGATGTTATTGATGGTGATGCTGCTGATGATGATGATTATGTTGATCATGCGAATATTGATGCGGATGCTGATGCTGATGATGATGATGCTGCTGGTGATGGTGATGATGGTGATAACGCTGATGATGCTTCTGAGGATCATGGTGTTTATGATGCTGATGATGCTGTACATGATGATGATGATGACGATGATGATGCTACTTTTGCTGCTGATGGTGATGGTGATGACGATGGCGATGCCGATGACGGTGACGATGCTGATGCTGCTGATGATGATGATGATGATGATGATGATGATGATGATGATGATGTTGATGCTGATGCTGATGATGGTGATGATGCTGATGATGCTGATGATGATCATGAACCTGTTGATGCTGATGATGATGCTCATGACGATGCTGATGATGTTGATGATGACTGTGACGATGCTGATTATGATGATTATGGTGATGATGATGGTGATGATGCTGATGATGCTGACGATGATCATGCATGTGAGGATGATGAGGATGAGGATGATACTTATACTGATGCTGATCATGATGGTGATGCTGCTGCTGATTATGATGCTGATGTTGTAGATGATGATGATGATGCCCAGGATGAGGATGAGGATGCTCATGATGATGTTGATGATGATGCTGCTGATGATGATGGTGGTGGTGATGATGCTGCTGCTGATGATGATGCTGCTGGTGATGCTTATGATGAGGAGGATGAGGAGGAGGAGGACCAGGAGATGGAGGAGGTGGAGGAGGAACAGGGAGAAGGGATGGATGGATGGATGGATGGACGGAAGGTGATGGTGATGATGATGAGGAGGATGACGACGACGACGACGGAGGAGAAGAGAAGCAGAGGAGGAGGAGGAGGAGGAGGAAGAGGAGGAAGAGGAAGGACAAGAGGAGGAAGAGGAGGAGGAGGAGGAGGAGGAAGAGGAGGAGGAGGAGGAGGAGGAGGGGGAGGAGGGGGAGGATGAGGAGGAGGAGGAGGAGGGGTAGGAGGAGGAGGAGAAGGAGGAGGAGGAGGAGAAGGAGGAGGATGAAGAGGAGCGGAGGAGGAGGAATGACAGGAAGAGTGGGGGGAGGAAGAGCAGGAGGATGAGGAGGAGGAGGGGGACTTGTCGAGGAGGTGGAGGGGGGACTTGAGGATGAGGACCAGAGGCCCAGTGTCAACCCGCGACGCATCAACAATGTTGGAGGACGCTTGCTCTCCAAATTTCCTTCCCATAGGTCGCTACTACACTTGATTTTCATTGCGGGAAGTGCCCCATTGGCAGATAAGCGCAGGATAATCCACAGTCGTGCCATAACGCCATTCCTGTGACTTCGACGCCTCGAATCAACCTGACTGTTGCGTCCTGACAACCATATATACTGCCAGAACCCAATTTCTGGGATTTCAACTCCGCGAGCCAACGTGACCGTTGCGCCCTGACAGTCCTGGATCGTGCCTGAACACCACTCCTTGGACTTCCCGTCCAAAGCTTCCTCTTCATACATGCCTGCACGCATTCCTTTCCCCGAGGCAACGTCGCACTGAAAGAGACGAACGCCACATGGGCCTGTCATTCATGTGAGAGCCCCGTTCTGACGAGAATCCGCCCTCTATCCTTTCAGCTAAAAGACGAGTCGGGTGTGGGGACATCAACTTCAAGGACGTGCTCAAGCCAGCTCCCCGTTCACGTGCGGTTAACTCTTACACGGCTTGAGAGTATGGTGGTAAGACCAGCGGTAATGATGGAACGCCGTTTTGAATCACAGGATTGTTGTCCATCTATTTGGATTATTGGCAAGGTTTTCCGACGAATGTGCGCAATGCGAGAACCAGGTTATTCAAGCCAGCCGGTCGCCATCTGCTAAACTGCTGAACTTCTTGAAGACCATTGTGCGCGTCGCCCAGGTGAGCGCCGTATTTTGAAAGCCACGTCGCACTCATGCGTGTAATTGTTGTGATGTTGTAAGATAATTCGGCGCGACGCTCAGATGGCAGCCGCACTTTGAAAATGGTCCCGCCCCCCCTCCGTGAAGCTGGTGCATTGTTTCAAGACGGTTTTGCGCGGCTCCCAGGCGAGCACCAGTTTTGGAACGTTACATGCTCCAAATGTGAAGCTCTCGAACATGTGTGGGACGATCGTGAGTGTCATTACGGCGAGAACCACATGTTGAACCCACGCGCTTACACCCCTGGAGTTCATACATTTCAGCAGACGGGTATGCGCGGCGCTCAAGGGACATCATCGGTGGAAAACCGCGTCACATCAACCAGTCTACATTGCTGGCAGATTCAAAGACGATCGCGTGCCTCCCTCCGGCGGGATCCAGGTTTTCCACAACATCCCCCCCCCACCCCCTCCGTTAAAGCTGGTGAGGGTTTTGGATGCGAATATTCTCGGCGTTCAGCTACCCACGCATCCTCCGTGCATCTGTTGCGGATTTCCAGTTCCATGATCATGCGCTAGGTGGGGGTCCCAGCCGAACTGCCCAGGCCGCCACACAAACAGATCTGGGGGGGTGCGACGAGGACTAGTTGTTCACACGGGATAGGGGGTGGAGGGGATGAGACGGAACAGGTGAAGCAGGTGGAGGGGGAGGAGAAGGATGATGACGATCAGGAGGTGGAGGAGGCAACGACGCAGCAGGAGGAGGGTCATGGGGACAGGGTGCGGGAGAATGGCCAGGAGCACGGGGAGGAGCAGGATCAGCAGCTACAGGGGGAAGAGTAGTGGGAACGTGGTGATGATGGGGGGGGAATATGGGGAGACATGGTGACGAGGCGGGCGAGGAAGATGATGGGCAGGAGGAAGACTGGGAGTCTGAGCAGGAATGAGGCGACGAAGAGGAGGGGAAATGTGGAGATGACAGGGGGTGACTAGAAGAAGGATGTGGACGAGGAGGGCGAGGATGATGAGAGGCAGGAAAAGGACAGGGGGCATGGTCAGGAGTAAGCGGTGGGGGAGGCTGAGGAGGAGGAGGATGAGGATGAGACGGGTGAGGAGGGAGTGGAAGCGGATGAGGGGAATAATGGGGAGTGTCAGGGGCAATCTGATGTTGAGCGATGCGAATACGATTGAGGTGAACATGATGACGATTGTGATGACGATGGCGATGGCGATGGCACTGCTGTTGTTGATAATGATGATGATGGCGCTGTTGATGCTGATGATGGTGATGACGATGATGACGTTGGTGGTGATGATGATTATGTTGCTGCTGGGGATGATGCTGCTGCTGATGATGATGAAGATGATACGTAATGCGTGTGATGCTGCTGCTGGTGATGACGATGAAGATGGCGATGCTGCTGCTGATGATGATGATGATGATGATGATGATGATGATGATGATGCTGATGATGATGATGATGATGATGATGCTGCTGATGATGATGATGATGATGATGCGGATGCTGTTGCCGAGGCGGGTGATGACAATGGTGCTGATGACGACGATGACATGATGAAGCTAATCATGATGATGACGATGACGATGATGATGGTGATGCTACTGATGACGATGATTCGGATGATGCTTATGCTGCTGATGATGATGCTGCTGCTGATGCTGCGGATGGTGAGGATGATGCTGCTGATGATGTTGATGATGCTGCTGATGATGATGGTTGTGAGTAGGATGATCAGTAGGAGGAAGCGTATTTACTTACGAGCGGGTGATGTAGATTGGGGTGAGGGGCACACTTCCACTTACTAGTACATGTTCGAGGGCCTCAGCGGTGCAAGACATCTGAGGTGCTGTGCAACGTGACTGCGTTGACTCAGCTTCCCTGACTCAGCGACGGCTGGGATTTTGAGGGCTACTGCAGTCTTGAGCACCCATCTTCGTTTCAACTACTGCTTAAGTCCAGATTGCCTCTACCCCGCTTTACAGCACACTGTCATCATCATCATCGTCATCATCGCAGTGCTCAGGGTTTGTGCTTACATGGTCTTTCTCAGATCGGGATCTCCTACTGTAGCTGTCCTCACGCCAGTACAGCTATCGTCACCTTCTCCATCGTCGGCAGCCTCATAGCCTTTGGCAATCGTGGCCATCGTTGTCGCGGTGGTACTGCACATGCTGTCGTCGTGTTCGTCAACACGGGCACTGCCATTGCCTTGTTAATCGCTATGGTGTTTGCCAGCAACATGCCTGCTACGATCGCCACGACCAGCACTGTCGTGACCTCCCTTTCTCCGTGCCCCAGTGCGCTGAAGAAGAACTTCACAATGCGCAAGGAGACCGCCTTTTACGTGTCAGCCCTGTTCTGTTGATTTTGCAAGTATGTGTCGTCTCACTTCAACATAGTCGGTGCATTTAGGACCGTCTGTTGAAGCTGTATCTGTATCTGCACGTGTACGTTTACATACATATCTAAATATATACATCTCTCTCTCTCTCTCTCTCTCTCTCTTTCTTAATCTCATATAAAGGTGATGCGTCTGCGTGTGTGTATGTCTACAGATATGCTCGCCCCTATCAAGATACACTTCCTCAATGTAACGTCTCTGCTTATCGTTGCGACGACGAGGCTGACGTTGCCAAGCATGTGGTGTATACTATAGTGTGGAAAGCAGAGGCTGTTGCTGGGCAGTAGATATCAGGGGGTTAGTTTGTAGGTGATCACCGAGAGTAGAGTATATATATCGGTGCATGCGTACATACACATACATGTATGTATATACGCGTACATGCGCATACATGTATGTATCTACGGATGTATGATGTAATATGTATTAGACACATTCGAGCTACATCGTGTGTATGCTGTGCACACATGCATGTGAACATCCAGCTGCCAGCGGCAATCGCCGCCACCGCGCCAGCGCAGCATGAACGTTTTTGAGTTGAGGACCCCCTGCAATTCAGCGCCCGGTCTGACTGAACTCGAGTGGGTCTTAAACTCGACCTCGTTCCCTCGACTGCTGAGGGTCTCCGAGTGGCCTCCCGGAGGCCTCCCCGATCGTATCTTTGGGGCCTTCTCCTAGGGTTCTTTGGGGCGTGCTGGGCCTCTCTTGGTCCGCCTGGCGCCTTCGGAGGCCGTCTCGGCGGCCTCTCCGGGCCGTCTTGGGGTCATCCGGGCAATCTTGGGGCCCGTCCTGGGGCCTTCTGGGTGGCCCGCCGTCGTTTGTGCCTCTCTTTGTACCGTCTTGGAGGCCCCTGGAGCCGTCTTGTGCTGCCGGAGGCGCGGGATCGTGTATTTCAGCACGGCCGTCTCCACGATGCAGCCACGACGCTGGAACACGGACCGCTTTGGGCCTGAACTCCAGGTCGTTGGACCTGCTCGTGGCCGAGGCTGCGAGGCGGGGCTTTATACATGACCACCGCCTGGAGGACGAACTCTTCGGAGCCCCCGGCATTCGGTGGACTGTACATTCGGCGCCCCTGGGGCCCGAACAGATCCACCTCCACCGCCCGCTGGGATCCCAGGACCTCTGGCTCCACGGGTGCTGGATGTGGATAGACCCCCGCCTCGCAGAGGCTCGCCGTGGCCAGGAGGACCCTGCACGCCCGTGGGCCCACGGAGGCACCCTGCCCTCCCAGCCGGCCCCCGGCGGCTCCGACCCTGCAGCCCGGCCTGTTGCGCGCTGCCGCCCGTGCCCGCGCGCGCGCTGCCCCAGGGGGCGGGCGTGCTGTGCACGAGCCCTCTACCGAGAGGAGAAGCACGAGCACGATGACCATGACCAAGATTCAGAGGAGGGAAAGGTACCCATACCGCTGCCCCTCGCTCGTTTTCGCTCTCTGGGGCCTCCTGGGATTCCCTCGTCGCCGCCGCTGGATTCGCCTCGAGATTCTGGCTAGAACGCACCATGGGAGAGGTCTGGGGAGTAGCCGTATCGGTGCCTGTGGTTTCCCCAAATATGTCGCGGGATCGTGTCGACGCTGGTCTTGGTCATGGTCCATGCCGGCCGTCGCCGATTCGCGAGGATGATCCGCGACTTGACGATATACCAAGGTGGACGATGACCAAGATCGACACCGACGCTTCCGCATTCTTTCTTGGTCACGGTCTTCGTCTTCTTTCCACTCTACGGGCCCCTGGTCCAGCACCGGCTCCACCTGTCTTCTGCTGGCGCCAGGCCATCCAGACTCGTTCCTGGTACGCAGCCCAGCCCGACTCCCGACCCGACCGCACGAAGCGTGAATTCGACCGACGCCCTCACACGCCGGGCCCTGCTCCGCGTCTGTACTGTCCCTGGCGCTGGCGCTGGTGCAGGCAAGGTGCTGAAAAGAAGGGACCGTTCGGGTTTCGAAGGGGCTCGATGCTCCTTAGGCTTAAAAGTCGGGCACGTCCCTGTACCGGAGGAGTATTCACCAATCGTCAAAAGATAGTCTGGGGAGGATTGTTTGACTATTTCCCTACCTAGGCTCTGCCTAGAAGGGGTCTTACTCTCTTTGCTTAAAGGGGCGGGCAATGGAAACCGCCCCGAGCGGTTCCCCCAGTCCCCGCCCCGCGGTTCCCCCAGTCCCCTGGGAGCTTTAGCCTTAGCTTTAGCTCTAGCTTAGCTTTAGCTTTAGCTTTAGCTTTAGCTTAGCTTTAGCTTAGCTTTAGCTTAGCTTTATTTTAGCTTTCGCTTAGCTTTATCTTAGCTTTAGCTTGGTTCAGCTTAGTGTTAGCTTAGCTTCAGCTTAGCTTTAGCTTAGCTTTAGCTTAGCTTCAGCTTAGTGTTAGCTTAGCTTTAGCTTAGTGTTAGCTTAGCTTTAGCTTAGCTCTAGCTTAGCTTTAGCTTAGCTTTAGCTTAGCTTTAGTTTAGCTTTAGCTTAGCTTTATTTTAGCTTTAGCTTTAGCTTTAGCTTAGCTTCAGCTTAGCTTTAGCTTATTGTTAGCCTAACCTTAGCTTAGCTTTAGCTTAGCTTCAGCTTAGCTTTAGCTTAGCTTTAGCTTATCTTTAGCTTAGCTTCAGCTTAGCTTTAGCTTAGCTTTAGCTTAGCTTCATCTTAGTGTTAGCTTAGCTTTAGCTTAGCTTTAGCTTAGCTTCAGCTTAGTGTGATTTTACTCTTAGCTTAGCTTTAGCTTAGCTTTAGCTTAGTTTTAGCTTAGCTTTAGCTTAGCTTTAGCTTAGCTTTAGCTTAACGTTAGCTTTAGCTTTAGCTTAGCTTTAGCTTAGCTTTAGCTTTATCTTAGCTTCAGCTTAGCTTTAGCTTAGTTTCAGCTCAGCTTTAGCTTAGCCTTAGCTTAGCTTTAGCCTTAGCTTTAGCTTAGCTTCAGCTTAGTGTTATCTTAGCTTTAGCTTAGCTTTAGCTTAGCTTTAGCTTAGCTTTAGCTTAGCTTTAGCTGTAGCTTTAGCTTAGCTTTAGCTTAGCTTCAGCTTAGCTTTAGCTTAGCTTGAGCTTAGCTTTAGCTTAGCTTTAACTTAGTGTTAGCTTAGCCTTAGCTTAGCCTTAGCTTCACTTTAGCTTAGCTTCAGCTTAGCTTTAGCTTAGCTGTAGCTTAGCTTTAGCTTAGCTTTAGCTTAGCTTTACTGTTACTACTAATGCTGCTTTCCTAGGGGCTCCAACTCCTAGGTAGGGTCGCACTGGGATAATTTGAACCATTCTGGAATATTTTTTTGACAATTCGTTTTTCGTTAAAAATTTCCCTGTAGGAGGAAATGCCCAACATAGCCTTAGGTCCTTCCGCGGTTGTTCCTCGAGCTCTCCTCGTGTGCCCAGGCGCTGCCAGCGCCCAACATGGGCTTCGTTCTTTCTTTAGCGTTCCATGACTTTCAGCAGCCCGGCTGTATCCCGGAGGCCTACAGGAGCGAACGCGTCCTCCTCCGACGACGACACGGACGACTGACGCGAAGGTCCCTGGAGATCTCCCGACCGCAGGAGGCCCAAGCAGGGTCCAAAAGGCTCAATGACCTCGAGCCCCGGTCCTCCGTCCTCGGACCTTCGATCTTCGAGCCTCGAACTTCGACACTCGAGAGGGGGAAAGGGAGAAAGAGGGATATGTATGTGTGTATGTATGTATGCATGCATGTCTGTCTGTTTGCCTGTCTGTCTTTCTGTCTGTCTGTATGTATGTACGTATATATGTATGTATGTATGTATGTATGTATTTATTTATTTGTGTATATAGGTATGTGTATGTATAGATAACTATGTATACACAAATGTGTATATTTATGT